CGATAATTACGCACGTAAATTGTGTATTATGTTTCTCAAGATATTCTAATATTTTGTTTCAATATTTACAGGCAAAAGTATTACCTGTATCAAGAAAATATTCGTAGTATGAACCGCGGTATTTGTAAAGGGAACATCGATAGCGCAGAATGTTCACAATAATCTACACGCATTGCGCATTTTAGTGATAAGATAACGCATTATTTTGTATTGTTACCTGCACTATTCACACAAACAGTAACCACGCAATATCTAAATTTTTGGTTTAATTTTTCAAACTTTATTGCCAAATTTTACAGTCTCAAAGTCTGACAATTGCAATAAAGAGTATCTCAAAAGATTGTAGTACGGATACTTCTTGGAAGTCCCGAAGATTCGTCGGTTTTACTCATATTATAAATGCGAAAGTTAAGATGGTTGTTACGGTTTGTAGCCTAAGCTGCTGAACGAATCTTGATGAAATTTGGTACAAGTAGAGACAGACTGGAAGAACACATAGGATACTTATTTTTTTTTAACGGAACGAGGATTACGATAAGGGAGACGCGGGGGAAAGCTAGTAAATAGTATTAATAAGCTTGAACAACAGTGTCAGATTTCAGGCAACGAAGTCCTGAGTTTTCCAGATGTGTTGAAGTAATCCAAATAAGCTGCACTTGTTTATAGTTATGCCACTGCGTCTTGTAATGGTGCTGTACCCCATTATGTACAAGGTCTCATCGATAACCTAGATATTAACGTTATCAACGTTTGATTAACCGCGCTATTTGTTTGAACAACATAATTTTGCCAGCGATCGCTCTTTGCTTATCAGATATTATGAAAATGTTACATCGTCAACAATTACACAGGTTGATATATTGTTTTATAATGATGGCGTTTTAAAAGTACTTGATGTTACGGGAAATTTTTTAGGGAGATAAAAGGGAGATGAAAGGAATTATGCTGGAATTATCTTAGTTTCGGAAAGCAATTTCATTAAAAGGAAGCTTGACTTATTGTTCGTTTCTTATTGAAATCTGATTAGATAACTAGTGTATATTGTATAACTTGAGCAGTTATGCAGCGAGAAAGTTTTGTTACATGCAATTGTTGAGAATGACTTCACATTATGATTGATTATGTGCATGAGTTGAAGTTATGTTTCGATGTAGCTGACGGTAGTCATTTCCGTACTTACGTTTTGTAATATGTTTATCATTCACTTTCAAAACCGCATAAATTCAATAAGAAGAATGATAAGTAACGTACTTCTAGTTATCAAGAGCTATGTGATTTGTGAAAGCTTATAATAATTTACGCCGTAAATAAATTGCAGAGTAATGGTGAATAATTACTCTTACAGTGGTTTAGAATATCTCGTCATAATCTATTTATTTCTAGAATAACATGAGTCGTGTCACTCAGAAAATATAGATACAAGCTTTCGCACATAAAATGTTTGTACCCATTTTCTTTAGTGTTACAAATAGTAATGTATTTTAGATCAGTCGATTGTTATTCCTGGGGTGTATACGAACTATATGGTCACATTCTTCGTAAGTTGATTTAGATTTAGCGCGGTCATGCGTTATGTCGTTCGCACGTGTATTGTTTCATCCAATTTTCCGTGCACGTATACACGGCGCGTGCTCCGACATGCTGTATCGTGCCGTGTCGTATCAATAATTCATTTTGATGACGGATGAAGGGTTACTGCGCTGCAGCTGCGGACCGCGACCCACTTGGCCGCTCTCATTCCTGTCCCCTAATATCCGACCTACTTTTACGAGACATCCCAACTGGCTTTATTGCATCGATGAGTAATGTATTATTTCGTTATTAGTTCTGAATCGAAGCCGTATATTTGTATGTGACAGTGATTATAAGATATTAAAACATTAGAAAAAGTCAATATTTTCGTTGACTCTAAAGGCAGTCTGTCTAAAAATGATTAAAAAAGTAGAAGTAGCATTTCGTTTGAATTAATGAAAGATCCCAGACAGTCTGGCTTAGTCAAATTTAATAATTAGTGTTTGGACTACAATGCAGACAGTCTCGGTTTGAAATGATAAAAAAGTTTCAATGCACAGATGTAAAACATACGTTTTACAGGCGGCCGCAGCGAGCCGCTTGAAAAAACTCCACAATGCCAGATACGGATTCATTGTTTGCGTAACCACAATGCTTGAAATGATCGAATTACTTTTGTTACAGCACATTTTAAAGTTAAAACATTGACGGTTTACATTTTTAAATTACTTGTACTTCTTTCGAAAACCTGATTGTAGTAAAGCCTTGATCATAAAGTGTATTTTTCTATTCGTAAGTTATTCAGTACGATGCAAAGGTTCTGTTTAGCTTTCGGTTGCCATAGTAACAAATGCAAATTCGAAATAACTCAAGCGGCTTACTGTGTTGCTCGTAGTCGTATATCTACGGAATCTAGTTGTCGTCATCTATTATGATTACGTACACTGTGTTCTCCTTTATTGCAACCAACACGAATAGCTTATGTATCTACATCGAATGTACGAACGGAATTGAACTCTGAATACGTTGAACTAAAGTAGAATTTAGTTTGAACGAAGTAAGAGCACTTTATCTCTCTCCTCATACAAATTTCGGTAATAAAATTAAGATGACAGACTCGATACTATACGCCGTTTGTCGGCTCCTCGCTATCGCTATTTACCGACAGTTAAATAGGTTTCATACGAAATAAATGATAATTCTATAATAAATTACTTAGCGTTTATGTTAATTAAGCGTATAAAATATTGTAGAGGTGTTTCGTAACGCATAAAAACGTTACTTCTTTCGTGGGAAAAACAAATGTTTCAATGTACACTTCGTCATTATTAACACAAGAACATACTGACTAAAAGAGTTACGAAGCTGGCTGTTTTGTCTACAAATACACGATTTGAAGTAAGAAGCCTAATTATTTAAAGATTTTTTTTTAAACATAATCGTAAGTGGCCGTAATTTTGAACTAGAGAGAAAAGTTTAATCAGTATCTTAAATGTGTATCAAAGTGGTACAAAATACCGTTTCCGTCTTATTGTAGTTAATACATAAAATCGTCAATTAACGCATAGCTAATGCTGGTGTGGTCAGTAGTCACGCAAATGCAACTTTCATGCTATCCAAATCACTGCCGTTGACGCTAATGGTAAAGTCTTCAAAACATTTTGTTATTCTACACCCATAAGGCGTCATAAGGCCACGCTGAGAACACTCGGTACGGGGTTTTGTCGTTATTTAATAACTAACTTTACCGGGACGATGTCCGCGTGGAATAAAAAAAGTGTGTAGCCTATATGGTAATCAAGTCTATTCTCTACATTTATGCCAAGTTTAATCGAGATCCGTTGAGAAGTTTTAGCTACAAACTCTGACAAAAAGCCAGCCATCTAAATTTCGCATTTATAATATTAGTAAGTAAAGTTTAAACAATGCATTTATCCAACTAATTATATTAATTGATTGTGTAAATATAGCCTAGTTATTGATATCATAAAATATTCGTTTAATAGAGCGTTAGAACAATAAAATTTGACTCACTCTATTATCAAACTCATGTGGTTACAAACACATTGCCTGTCGCGTCATGCCTTCGTTTAAACAAATCAAAATTGTTGATACACCAAACACAATAGTTGTTATTTATTAGTATAATTTAACTTTGCAATTAGTTTGGGGAGTGATCTATTATTAGCCAATTAAATAAAAATTGAAATTATAGAAAATTAAAAATAAATCTAAGAATTTAATCCCAAGCAAATCTTTGACATTTCACTTGAATCGCCCCATGTATGGATTCTGACCTCGAAGTGGCATTTTATTTTTAATTTTAATAAAATGTGAAAGGATGTAAAGCAATTAATATTGAGAATCGTGAAGTTATCAATGATAATGATAAGATTTATAAATATTCATTGTTTATTAGCATCCGATAATTGTTATCAGAACCAATAACGTCAATACATTGTAAATGACGTTAATAGGCATTATAAAGTGAGAAGTTATTGTGAAAATCTGATTACAATTATAGATATACCACCATAGACTATATAAAATAAAAAAAAATATACAATTACCCAATCACTGTCCTAATAGTAAAAAAATAAACATGAGTAACTATAGTAAAATTTATGAATGTTAAGATAACAAAGTTTTATTATTTTAAAAGCGACAGTGCCGGGCGTGAACTAACTGCATTTGTTCCCTAGAGTCGCATGTGCAATGTGCACTCTACATGTAGCGGGGGTGTATTCCCACCCTATATGCACATGTGCAACAAATCTGTACGCCCGTGTACCACCAGCATACACTGACCTCCTCTAATAGAACCGACTTCGCTTCATTGTATGGAACATGGACTCTCTTTGTTGCTTTATAGGTCTTTTTAGTTGGATAATGTTCATGTGAACGTTTCGCCTCTGCGTTCACACACGAACCCTTTGTAAGGCTGATACACACGGCTGTTATTGGTCCGTATGAGAATAGTAACAGTAACAATTTATTTATTGGATATAGTATTTCTTTTAAATGATGATCAAGATCTCTACATTAAAGTAATAACAAATACACATGCTATTTATTTAATCTTTACTGTCATATACAGTCTATAAAAGATTCATTTCATTCATTCATGGAATGCTTTACTTTTACTATACGTTCTGTTTTTGAGAGTACTTAGGTAGTTTTCATATTTAATTCGCAAGTTCTTGTAAAAAATTAGAGCGAATATTTTTGTTTACCACATTACATTTGAATAAAATAAAGTTATTACAGTATATTCGTGTAAATTAATCTACAGGGCAGTGTGTATGTGGAAAATGTTGGCAATTACAATGCCGTAACCCCTACACTAATTACACTAGCGTAGGTTTGCGGTTCATTGCTGCAGGATATGGGTCAATAACTAAACTTGCAATATAAAGCAATAAAAGAAAAAAGAACAATTTTAGTGCAACTTGTAACATTGGGTTTAAATATCGACACTTGACACTTACCAGTAAACACCTTTGGTTTCTGAAACAAACAAAAAATAATTTATAAGGACAATGTTTATTTACTTTGTATCTTATAAGACTGGCGTTATAAAGATTTGTAGCAGTAAAAAAGAGTGATCGTTCAAATCTTAATTTCTATTTTCATTCTGACAAAAATAATTTTAAAATTATTAAAAATGCTATAAAAACAATTTTATTATTAACTTTGAAAAGCTTGGCAGTGACTCAAGAGAGTGTTCACAAACAGTAAGTAATAAATTCAGTTTGTTAGAATTAGAAACAAGAGATCATTTGTAACATGTTATGTTATTTCATTACTGAAAACTAGTTTTCGCCCGCGATTTCGTCTGTGTGGAATTAAAAAACCAAAAATAAGTTGCCTATATGTTCTCCCAGACTATAATCTACGTCTATGCCAAAATTCATCGACATCCGTTCAGCCGTTTAGGCTATAAACTCTAACAAACATGCATCTATCCATACATTTAAACTTTCGCATTTATAATACGAGTAAGAAGTAAGATTAGATAAGTAAACGTTCCACTTGTGTATAAATGCGAGTGTAACAATTTAAGTGCTAATTGAATATTAATTGGCTTATCGAATCGCATGTTCTGACGATAATCTGACAATAATTTTATCGTACGTACCATTTATTAAAATTTCCGATAAAAATCAAAATTAGAGATATAATAACACGTGGAATATTCCTATGAAAAAAACTTAGATTCCTTTCAGATGTTATTTAAGTAATATCGAGAATAAATAACTTTACTTTTTTATTTGAGGTAAGTACCTTGTTGATTTAGCATGACAATGATTCGTAAGTACTTGTATTATTTCTTTAATTCAAATATTCAAATAAATGTCGATACGGAAATCTTTATTAAAATTTGGCACGACTTTAATTGAATCGTTATTATCAAGTATGATCGTAAACGTTTTGATAGCTTGAGCCGTTATTAAAATAAACAGGATGTTTTAAAAAGTTTACGATCGCCTCCGCTTCGTAAATGAGAATTGCGAACTGATTTTGTTTATATTGATTATTTGATGAACTCTTTAACGATGCTAATCTGTATTTATTTAGATTATTATTGCTTTTAAAGGAGAAATAAGAATCCAATTATTGTTTTAATAATTTTCTTTTATTTTTCTTGTCATGTTTAGATACACATTTTTATGAATCCTGACAGAAATGTAAAACTGTGAAAGATAATTTATTTATTTCGTGTTACTGTGTTGTGTAGAAATCGTCAATTTTGGAAGATAATATATGGGGTTTTTATCGAACTCCGATAAAAAAAAGAAAATTCTAAAGATATGAAACGTCTACTCTTCATGTTTTCGTTAAGTACATTTTCACACACGTCGAAAGTAGTTAACAATTCGCAAAGAGATTGAGTTCGAATTGAGAGGAAGTTTAACGTGCGAGTCGCTCGGTGGAAGAATTTCCGAGTGCAATAAAAGTTAAACTACGGCGTTATAATTATCTTCAGAACAACGTCTAGACTTGTTAACTGCAAGTTTGAAATTGTGATTATTTGCACACTTTTAAAAGATTTTTTTTCTGTATTTGAATTTCAATAAACAATACACTGACTAAACTTGTACTGAAGTACCGTTTGAACATTTCTCATATCATTTATGTCGCTAAAATTGCTTTTACCTGTTATGTCGACATCCTTAACAAATAATAAACACGTTCCGTACGTCGTCGTCTCGCTTTTATTCAATTGTGAAGATATTTTGAAGCATCCTTATTATCTGTTAAAAAGGATATCGCTTTTGTGACGTTTTTTAATGAAGGGGATATGAGAAAATGTCTTGTAAAATGTTTTATTTTCGGATTATCAATCCATGAATATAATACCGTAACAAATTTTCATAACATACTTATCAACGGCGTAGAAATTAAATATACATCTGTACAGTATTTATTTCCAGCGAATGGTACCTACTAGGGTATAATAAATTCGTTGAATCCGAACTCTTTAATAGGGTTTGAATATCATCTGCTCGGGGCATTCGTTAACAGGATCAAACGGTACGGGGATGTCGCATACGCCTCACAGACAGACGGATCAAATAAAAACATTTCAACGGCGACATCCATCCAACTATAAAACCTGTATATCATGTCTCTGAATTAAAAATCGTAACAATTACGTGTTAATTCTCAAGATTCATTTAGAATTACGTTTGTCGAATTGAGCAACAATAGCGATGGTAATATCTTCCCACGTTACTGCATTAGCTAATGGTACTTGTAATGAATCATTCGTATGGATGCAATCATTGGAACATTGTGCCAAATAATCCCCTCTTAACCCTTAAATACATAAATAGATTTAGCCCTTGGGATTAGATTAGTTTAGATGTACAGAAATATTTCTGAAAGTATTTACTTTCATTGTTCACTTGTTTATAAAAACGTCGATTTATATCACAAAGTAAAAATATAGAGGGCGGTTAGCTCCGATTTATGCGTATTGTAAATTTTTATTTTTTATTTTTGCACAACGATCAGCATTGTGCAAACACAATAAAAGAACCAGCATCATAGCGCAGCGTTCGACGTTCTAAAGTCCCCAATTTCGTTCAAATATATTTTAAAATGGACAAAGGATCGCAGACTTATTTTATTAAAAAACTCACCGAGGGACGGCTGACGTATCCCTCAATACATCCTCTTACAGCATTTATGTGTGGTTTAGGAGGGTTTGAAGTTTGCTTTCATTTCGTTTCATATAATATTAATGCAAATCTTTGTATGGAAACAAACCAATCGCGGATTTTATGCGAGCAGTAATAAGTTCAGATCTTTCATGACACCTTGTGTATGTACTTCAAAAATTTGGTTATCGAAACCAAATTTTTAACACTAATAGTGGTGTTTTCAATACACATAAAACGATTGTAATTAAAAAATCACAACCAAGTTCACAGGTGTTAGGGGAATTATCGCATATAATGATCTCGTCGCATGAAGGCCTCGGGAGCGCGAACAGCGCACGTGCCCCACTTCCGGCCAGGTACGACGCAACCGGAAACACCGCCAAGCGGAACACTACATTATCCTCGCATCCTATAATCTATGGCCAGTGCTATAATTGGCATTTACTCTCTTCCTTTATACAGTGCTATGGAGAACTGATATTAAGCTGATACTTTGAACACGTAATTTATTTAAGTGAGATTTATGTCCGATATTAAATTGTTAATGTTATCACTTGTTGCGTAAGCGTATCAATTAGAAGCTGATATTCAAAGAATTTACTACACTGTATGAACATAACTTAGGTAAGGTATAGTTATTACTAGTTTTCGCCCGCGACTCCGTCCGTGTGGAATTAATAACAACGAAATTAAGTAGCCTATGTGTTCCACCAGACTCTCCTCTACATCTATACCAAATTTTACAGAGATCTGTTCAGCAGTTTAGGCTACAACCTAGATCTCTAATAAACATCCATCCATCAAAACTTTCGCATTTATAATAATAGTATGATTAAAGTTTCAATGGACGGCTGTTTACATTTTTTCTTTTTACTGCTCTGATACTCTAAGATACGACATAGGAATGTAAAAGTTACTACACTCAGCGACTTTCCAGTAAATATCTATGTGGTTTCTTGTTTTAGTAAACATCATAAACTACCATAGAGTAGCACTCCATTATGGTTTTACTGTATCACGTTCAACCTACTAACCATAAGAGGAACATGAAACTTTTTATTACCCATTATGAGACTTACTCCGATCTATGGTAAGTTATAGAACAATGAAAACAATAGAGTGAAAGTGCGATAATTAAATTTCGATAAATTTTACATGTTCCATTCATTTCATTGTTCCATACAATGTATTCTCTAACTATACGCAGTTGTACGTCTGCTAGAGTTATTACATGCGCAACAAAAATATTGCTAGCAATGTTTTTTAATATACTTCCACTCTAATTGTTGTATATTCTATATGAAGACTAAAGAATGCGTAAGGATTTTTTTTGTTTAGAGCAATCAAACATGACTATCATTCAATTCTGTGCAGAGAATCTATTTTAAAGAATTATAAAGTTGATTTTGCTGTATCAAAATTTACGCATTTCAAACAAACAAGATGGACGTCAACATCAAAAGTATAATAGAAAGATAAATATTATGCCGTCTGAGGTCTTTACACATTGACCAAATCCGAGCAGGGTTACAACTGGCGTGTGTACTGTGTACAAACAAAGAGTAATTGGAGCGTTGTTCCGGCGCGCGTGTTTACATCACTTTGTTATTGAAATGCCTTTCATTTTATTTCCTCAAATGTAATACGTATTTATTTATTGCAGTTGTGAAGTGATACACCGCTGTAATGACATGTCGATGAGGTCAAGAACATTCATGTAGATTTAATTGCATTGTTTTTGTTTGTCATAACTCGTATTATCTTTAAGGATTTTGTGAAAATTATGCATATTAGTTTTAATTTCTATACACTTTTTCATAAAATGATTTGCCTTATATTAAAATCAAGTAATCGATAGGTGCGATGCGATAAAATTATTTATAAAATTCGTTTCATTTTTTACAATAATTAAGAAAAAAACCATTGAAGTCATAGCGCCCGTAAATCTATTTGGTTTCTTCCCAAGAATAATTGCTTCGTTAAGCTTAAGTACATTAAAGTAATAACATTTGTGTGGTCACAAAATTTTTGTCTCCAAGTTCTTTAGAAATTTTTGTTCGTCAAAGATTATTTTACAGAAAAGTATTATATAAAGATCTTTTAAGCTTTATTTTATATTAAGGAAAAAGTGTAAAATTTTGTAGTATACTGTTATAAAATTATTTATATCATACGCAGGGAGCAGTAAGTGGTAGTGATAATATATAAATGATGGTAAGTAATCTTGCCCATGACCCAAATGGGTAAGCAGAGATTACGGATTTCCATTAGATGTGACCCTGGCACACTTCTCTCACTACTTCTATATTCATACTTTTACGGATATACTCATCTATTACG